TCTGGGCGAGGGGGTTGGGGGGACCCGGGGGTCTGTCCGCGATGTAGGAGGGGGTTCGTCTTGGTCGGGCCTGGGGGCTGCTTTAGTCTTTAAAGAGGAGCCGGAGGCGCACAGGCAGCCCGCGCGCAGCTCCGGCCTCCGTTGCCGGGGAGGCGGGTCCTGGGAGGCCCTCCCTTCCGATTTTCCAGCCGAGACGGGCTCAGGTGCCTGTGCGATCCCCGATTTAAATGCCAGCAGCTGCTCCCCTAGAAAGAAAAGGCCGTTCAAAGGGAGAGGCCACAGCGCGTGTCCGAGATGAAGAAGAACAGCTATCGGGGGGCCACTGCTCCAGGCAGAACCCCAGATCGTGTTGCGAGGAGGGGACCGGGGCAGGGGCGTCTCCGAGGCGGGAGGGGAAGAGTCCACGGTGCAGAGGACCTGACCCCGTGACCTGAGTCCCCGCCTCGTTTTCATTTTCAGTCCCTGGTCATCCGCCAGGAGTCACACCTGTTAACTGCACACAGCTCTTCGGGACGCAGGGGAGCCAGGAGGGGTTTGGGGGTGCGGGACTCCTGGGAGTGGAGCAGGCCCAGCTCCCCGGCCCCCACCCCCAGCCACCCACCAATCCCCAGGTCAACCTTGCAGGGCCCGCCCTCCGCTGCCTCAAACCCCACTTGGCAGACACACTCCTCTGGCTGATGCTGTTTTGCAATTTCTGACTCGAGGACGGAGTCATGGACGCCGGGGTCCCGGGTCAGGCCCTTCAGTCTTGCGGCTGGAGACCGCTGGGCTCGCTGTGAAGGCAGCGTCCCCCCACCGGGCTGCGGAGCTACCGTGACCTTCAGTGACCTGTGCCCTTGGGGGCCGTGATCTGGGGAATGTCAGAGGCCCGGCCGCCATGGCTCAGTGCTTGAGGGTCGACCCAGGAACCAGGAGGTCAGGGTTCGATTCCCGGTTAGGGCACAGGCCGGGATTGTGGGCTCCATCCCTAGTGGGGCCTGCAGGAGGCAGCCGGTCCATGTTCTCTCTCATCACTGATGTTTCTCTCTCTCCCTCCCGCTTCCTCTCTGAAGTCAATGTAAACATATAAATATAAAATATATAAAGAAGGCTCCCAGGCACTGGCCTGTGGGACCGCAGCTCTCCTGGGACTGCGAGAAGTGCGGAAACCCTGCCTGTGGGCGGGGGCAGATCCGCCGATTGGATCTGACAGCTCCCCGTTTCCCCGGGACCCGGAGGACAGTTGCACAGAGGAGACGGGTCCGGGTTGCCCGGTTCAGAAAACCCTCATCAACCCCAGGACATGGAGCAAGAGGCTGCCCTGTGTCCTCGGGCTCCTTAGCAGCTGTCAGCATGAGTCACCACCGCGGAAGGGGAGGGAGAGGGAGGTGCTGGGCTTGGCTGCAGCTCAAGCTGGAAATAGCTCAGCTTTGACTTTACTTCCCAGCCCTGCCAGGTGGGGGTGCTCCACCCCCAGGACCCTGGGCAGAGCCTGCCCCGCCCTGCCATGTCCCACCTGCCAGCTTGGCCCACAGTACCCTGACCCCAGAGACTTGCTGCAACGTTGTTCCCAAGGTCAGGTCCTGCTCCGTACGATCCATGTGTACTCGCGTCCCTGGGATTGTGTGATTCTTTTATTCTCTGGCTGTTGCGTCTTCCTGCTGTATCCCTGCCCACGATTGGCGGTTGCTTTTTATTTTTTTATTATTTTTATTTTTATTGATTTCAGAGAGGAAGGGAGAGAGAGAGAGAGAAAGAGAGAGAGAGAGAGAGA